CCCCCCCCCCCCCCCCGCTCAACAATCCACATGAAAATGTGGCCTATGGTGGAGAAAGAATCAGATCTGAGTTGGCTCACTTTCTAAGATTTCTCTCTCTTTTGACGGAGGAGGGTTGGCTTTCAGGTTGGAAGCCGTTCCTTGCAAATGGCTCAGCCGTGGCTTCATCCGAAACGGTTGCTTTTAGGGAGGAGAGGCATTTCGAGAAACTCAACATGACCGCCCTTCGTGTACGGAGACTTTATTAAAAAACAGCATCGTCGTCAAGATCGAAACTGAAACATCAGGGCAGAAGAGCGAGGCCCTTCCCGGGAATAAACAAAAATTATCCCATTTGTCTGAAGTTGTTCTTTCCCCGTGGCCTTGAGTGCCAAGAAGAATAAGATATATCGAAGAGGTTGGGGTGGAATTGCTGTTCAATATATTGTCTGTTTGCAGCCAAGTGTCCTTCGAAGGGCAACGTTTTCAGGAATCTGGTACATCCTCTATTTGTGTGTGCACGCATCTCAATCTTATTTCATCTCATATTGCTTCTTGAAGTTGTCGATCCACTCTACTTTCAATCCATTCTCCCCTTCCCCCTTCCAATGTGGATGAGGGTTAGGAAAAATTCCAAACTTCCTCTTGCTGTGATCCATTGTTCAAGGCGCCCTTTGAAATCTTTCCAACCCGGGGAGTGTTTGCAAGGGTAACTTTGTTCAACTGTGTCCCGAAGGGCAAATTAGGGATGTTTCAGGCAATCGGGTTGCGAGAGGATAAAGATAACGGTGGCATGGACCAAGGATTCTGGCTGGTGAATAAGAATAAAAATTAAAGGACGGTTGGTCACTGTCTTAAAGGGTGGGGAAGCTGATTGCCTGCCAAGGTGGGGGTCAGGCTTACAACGTCAAAGAAAACCACTGTAGATTTCCATGAGGGCGAATTGGTGCCATCAGTCAAGAACTGGGTCCTCCACAACGATGCACAAGCACCCCGAAAAGATGTTTAAGAACATTTGGGGAAAAAAATGTTCAAGAGACATTTGGGCCCAATGCTATATATTGTTTTAACTGGCAAAAAAGAAGGACGGATGAACGTGAGACATGCGAATCTCTCCCACTGAATAGACTGAGTTCCTGTATGTGTTCTGGTAAAAAAGTGACGTCCCCAAAGTGTTTTTATACCGTTCGGGGTTTTGGAAAGCTGGATTATTCTCCCCTTTGAGGAATCTAAAGTCTGCTCGGCTAGCTCGAAAGGTACGTGGCCACTCTTCCACTTCTCCCACGAACGGCAGAAATGCGGAGTTTGTGGGTGGCGGGTGGAGAGGTGGATTTATGATGGAGGGAACCAGAGAAAACAGAGGAGATGTCAATGGAGCGATAGCGGTAGAGTGGAGAAAGATTAACTACTGCAAGGTATAAAGATGGGCATTTAACCTTTGAATGGTTTCAAAAGGGCACCCCGGATGGTTTTACGGATGATCGGCCCCTTCCCGAAAAATATGAAGGGGAACAGTTGGTTTATTTTATTTTTTAAAATAATTTTTTACCAGCCAAGGGTCCGAGGAGAACAGGCGTGGTAACCTGGTAGAGACATTGAGGGATCACGGGTGGGATTTTCACTCTTTTCATCGATGGCTTTCAGCGGCTGGTAGCTTGTGAAATTTTATGTTTGTAAAAAGAGGTGAGTCACATCTCTTTTTTCAAAAAGTGGGAAACGCACTGCCTTTTTTCAGCCTTCACTTCTGAAAATTTAAGTGCCCTGCATCCAGGGCGAGGCTGCCGGGCGTATCGGATCAGAAATAAGAAGAAAACTGGGATGGGTGTCATCCCGCTTCGGATATGCATTAGCTCCAAACTCAGTTGCCAGATATTTTCAGACACCATCTCTTTATTCAAACATCAGCTCTGTTCCATACCTATTCCCATTTTTGCCATCTCAAATTCCTTTTATTATCAAGGCTGTAATAGGACAATTCACAATTAGCAATGTTACTGCTGCCAGCGAAATAAAATAACGGGATATTCCCCTCCCTCCACCTGGTAGTTTTACAGCAGACAAATATTTGTGATTTCTTTTCACCTTCCTTCTACCCCTTCTACTTAATTTGCTCTATTTATGAAACTGCGTTTTGCCTCCAGCCAAATCGCCTGCTAAGGGAGCCAAGGTTTTATATGTCTTTCTTTTCCCTAATTTTCTTCTTTTTATGAGACTCGCTTCGATGGTTTTACTTTTACAACATTCTTGGCAGAGAGGGGGGCACCCTCTGTTTTGCTGCCGAATCAAATGTGATACCATATCTTTGGAACAGATCCTCTTCGGGTAAAATGACTGAGGCCAACCTTCATGTTAAATGTTTAAAAAATCATTAAATTGTCCAGCGGACTAGGTATTTCTAAAAACCAGGGTACTTAAGAGGAGTGGATACAGATCAAAAATATTTGTCTTGGCACTCTCCATGTTCCTTCCAGCTGCCCTGCTTATTCCCCAGACATGACAGTGGCTCGGGCCTTCAAAACCCCGAGGTATAGGGGTTGCCAAGCCAGGAAGAGCACGGAGAAGTTTGCCAGTCTGTGAGTTTTGCATGAAATAAGAAGGTAAGGGGAGATTTTTCTGGGGCCTGATGTTTTCAAAGGGGACCAGCCCCCAGCGAGATGGTTGAATGGCTGGTCAACCAGATTGCAAAGGCCTGGAGTGGGCATCAGGAGACAATCTGTACACTGTTTGGACGCACGGAAAGGGGAAAATAGCGCAGAAGAGGTGTCTTTGGGCTAGAACAAAGTACAGAATACTAAGCCATAGAGAAACCGGAGTTTGTTTTTCCTATCAGGCGGATTTTTCAGTGGTTGGACACAGGGGGAAAAGGAGAAATTTCAATGCTATGGTCCCTTATTGGGGTGGGCGAGAGATGAACTACAGCTCCCAGCAGCCCCCCCTAAACAGAGAGCAGTTAGGGATGCTGGGAGCTGTAGTTTGGCAACATCTGGAGGCCCAGATATGTCCACTTCTAGGGCTGTCACAGCTGTCAACAGGCTGAGTTCTCAGATCCTGCCCCAGGCAGGTATCGAGGGCGGCCCTTCCAATCCAGTCCCAGAAGCTGCCCCTCTCATTTTCCCAGAATGCCACACTGCATTAGTCTAGGGCATTGTGGGAAATGGGAAAACAGCAGCTTGTAGGGAGAGAAGGAACCGATGGGATTGAAAGACATCCAGCCCCCCTCCCTGAGGACTGGGCCCCAGTTTTTTGCTCGAGAGAGCGCGAGACCAGCCGCTCCACTTCCTTCAGGAATGCAACAACCTTGGCGTGCAGGCCCCGCTTGCAACTTGGAGGGAAGGAGTGTGTGTATATTTCTCAAATATGGAGAGCAGCTCGGGTATGGGTTGGGTGGACATCAGGCATTGCTAGGAAGGCTGCTCCTAGCTAGAAGGAGGGCTGTCAGATTCACCTGGGGCTAGCGGTGGAGGTCCATCCAGGCCCAGAACATCTCGGCTTCTGGACGTCTGTTTCTTTTTCCACTTGCCGACGCGGCCCGTTAAGACCCCGTTGGAGTTTACCTTGCAACTGGAATGGGAGGTCTGGGCCAACTCGCTGACCGAGTCCTCCCCGTGGCCAGAAGCTTCCTGACCTTGATCGGCTGGTGGAGCCTTCACAGGACCCTCCTCGCCCCCTTCTGTCTGGGCCTGCTCCCCCTCCACCGCAGCCTCGCCGCCTCCTCTGCTGAAGCTCACCGCCTCATCCTGGCCTTGGCTGGGCTCTGCACCTCCATCTCTTTTCCCCAAGGTCACCTTAGGGAGCTCCGAGCCCGACCTGGTGGACGGCTGGAGATCCAGGGCTTCCACCTGCTTGCTACTGCTCAGTCCAGAGTCCCCGAGAGATCCCGCGGTGGAAGCCATCCTCCCAGGAATCCCTTCTTCTGCAGGTTGCAAGCAGGGCCTGCTTTGGGAAGGACCAACATCCTCTTCTGCGGGTTCGTCCTGCTCGCTCGGCGGGTAGAAAATGGATTTCTTCCCCACAACGTCCCTCGCTGAAGCCCATTTGTGTTCTGGACAGTGGCTGGAGAGAAAAGCAACGGGAACCACGGTTTAATTCAAGATTTGTCCGAACTAGAGGGAGTAAACCGTTTTCTAGCCCACTTTGGGGAAACCTGGCCTTTTGAGCGTCTGCACTGGTGCATTGCCGAGTCTCAGACTGGCAAGAGATTTATTTATTTTATTTATTTATTAGATTTCTCTCCACCCATCTCCCCCTAATGGGATGAGGTTTACAACATTAGGAGTTCACTGGGTTCAAGCAGGCTTTTCCTTGTTGTGAAATGTTGTTTCGTCTTGAGCGGGAACCCTACCCGTTGGATTATCCTGGCTGAGTCACTCCGTCGCAGGAATGTAATGCAGTTAAGGGCCTTTTGTGAGTCCATTCAAAGTGGCCTTTTTAAGATGACAATTGAAACAAACCACAGTTTATGCAATGGGGGAACTCCAAGATAACCGCCCCAATCTCGACTGTATGGCTCCCTTCATACCACACCATAAAGTTGTATAGGGTTAAACTTGGTTAATGGGAGGGGGGGAGAATGAAATAGCCAGTTAGCTTATCATTCAGGGTATCATGAGAATATAGAAATCAATATGATTTCTTTCCCTTTAACTCATCTGGGTGGGATTTGAATGGACGGGAGTGAACTAGTCAGCTGCTGTTTTCCTGCATCCCTCCACATCTTGTTAGAGGATGCTAAAGAGATAGGTTTTGAAAAAAGGGAATTTCAATCATCGGGTTACATTTGTTGTGTGAACGCAGCCTTTGGGTGGAGAACGCAGAGCTCCTAAGTGTAACTCCCAGGAGCTCCAGGAGGCATGGCCAGCAATGAGAGGGATGCTGGGAGTTGTAGTCCAACCGTGGGGACCTGCAATGGGGACGGAGGGGTGACATCATCACAGAACGGCTGCAACGATTCCTGTGCCTCGGCAGCCGTGACGCGACTCCGCCATTCAAGTGTTTGCGCGATGATCCCCACCCTTAGGAAGGCAAAATTGACCCTGTCTTTCGATAGCGGATGAAGACAGATGGAGTTGGCATCTTCTTTGCCAAGTCAATTGCCTTCTCCTGTTGTGAACAGCACTTTCAGGTATACTGCCATGCAACCTGGAAGTTCTATAGAGATCCACGGGTGGGCCAGTGACACCTTTCAGCCACGACGGCCTTCTAATCCCCTTTGATAACCATCTTTGTAACCCCCAGCTTTTCTTTCTTTCCTAGCTAAAAAGACAGAGACGGTGCTCATTCTCCGCCTGCATTCTCCTGCTGACTGCGGATTCACACAACCCCCTGAACCCCCAGCAAATCAAATGCAAAAAGACACAACCAAACAGAAACTTTGGCCCAAACCAACGAAGGTGGAAACCAGCCACGATTAGGATCTTCAGCAGCTGCTCGGTGTTTAACTGGGTTTAAATCCCTGCTAAGCCCTTTGGATTTCTTGGGAGAACGATGTGCCTGGGAGCGGAAGCAGCCATTGCCACCAGCTGCTTTTGGGGGGGGTTGTTTTGGCCCCGAAGCAAGGAGAAAAGCAGAAGTAACCGAAGTCTAACCTTGGCTTGGCGTGCCCTACATGCTTTAAGAGTGCTCTAGAGGGTGTGTTTTTCAGATCAGCCATCACGGTGGAGAAACAGCCGAGCGGCTCCTGGAGAAGCTTGGCGGGGCTCCCGCAGCAACGCTCAA